CAGCCCCTTGTTCCGTGAGGGTTTTGCTGGCACATCCCTGGATATCTGTGGGGCCTCCACGCACCTCGACACCTCTAGCAGCAATGCATCTGACAGCCTTTCGATTTGTGAGGGCTGTTACAACATCCAGAAGCGTGGACACGTGTGCGGCAGCGTGCGGGTTTTGCTGGCAACTCCTAGCAGCAACGTGTCTGACAGCCTTTCGATCTGTGGGATTTTGCAGGTGCAAGAAAGCGGCTGTGCGCGGGAAGCCGGTTGCTGGGAGGCTGTAGGGGGTTCTCAGGCGCCCGGCGCCCCCCTCTCGGTGCTGCTTTGGCCCCCGCCGGGATGCCCATAACACTTTAGGAACTAAACCCTAAATTGCTTGAATTCCGGGTGGTCATGGGGTGGGTTGACTGCTACGCACCGATGCGAGCCGCCTGGGTGTGTCCCACACCAGCGAGCATCCTATGCCGTGACCAAAACCTAAACCCTAAACCCCAAACTCAAACCATAAACCCCAAATCCTAAACCCAACCAAAAGTGCCGGCGCCTTCAACCTCCCATTCATAAGCCAAGCCTTCCTGCAATCAAGGAGCCAACGCTACTTCACAGGGGGTTCCCAAGAATTTGGGGTCCATTTGGTTTAGGGTTTAGCGTTCAGCGTTTAGGGTGGGGGTTTCCCTTGAATAAGGACGCCATACTACGTTGTGGTGAATTTCGGGCCCTCCTAAAAATTATCAAAACCAAGTGGCTAGAAGCAAAGTGTTGAGGACTACCAAATCCTTCTGAACCACAATATACAGTAACCACATTTTCCATGCCGGGTTCCATGTTCTTTCCATCGGAGTAATCCTGATATAAACCCTACATCACCCTACATGATCCCTAAACCCTAAACCCTTAACCCTAGAATCCAGCATTCGGGCAAAGAGGTCCCTAAGTACACAGCCAGAGACACCACTGGCATGCTTCAAAGGTGGAGATCCCCAAAGTATGGGAGCCCCTTTTGAAGGGATATAGGAAGACATCTAGGGGTGCATTTGGATTCCTTTAGGGTCATGTAGGCTTTAAGAGATGCCATACCCCCTGAGCCAGACATTTTGCTACATGGGCTTCCGAGTCCGCATAATAAGGACAATGAATTCGGACTATGGATTATTCTGTTTGGATGTATTTGGAGGTGAGGAGCCCTAGTTATGAGGCCTACCACATCTCGTGAGCTATATTCTCAAGTATCCCCCTTACGAACATCCAGAATACTCGCCTACATAACCGCCGACCCTAAGCCCTAAACCCAACATAATCCCGGATATAAACCCCCCTAACCCTGTGTGATCATATGACCCCCTGTAAAACCCCTTTAAGGAGTTTAGGCTATGGCTCTTGCGAAAGCATCCCCAAACCCTAAATCCTAAACCCTAAACCCTAAATCCTAAACCCTAAACTCCAAGGATCTTGGACAGCAGTGCCCATCAAACCGTGTGGCTTCCAGTCCTCCATCGTTGCATCCACTTTGGCCAATGCAACCTGACCTTCATCTCCCGCAAACGGAGTACGTCATATTATTACTACTATTGCGGTTAGTACTGCTTTTAGAACTATTACTATTACTACTTGTACTACCATTAATACTCATATTGCTATTAACCCTACGAATACTATTATAATTACTCTTACTCTTGGTACTATGATGGCTATTACTACTAGTAATACAATTCTGACGGTTATGACTATTGTTATGACTATTATTACGATTATTGCTTTTAAAACTAGTATTACCAATTCTGCGCCACTGCACCAGCCTTCAAGCTTTTCTGCCAGCTGTTCCCAGACCGGCGCTAACTTTTTGCAGTGCCCACACCAGGGGGCATGAAATTTTACCTCAGAACACAACAGGACTTATCATCGATTCGGTCCGGCTCAAAAAGGGGTGACACGGGACGCCATCAATCGATTTCGTACGGACCTGAACAACCATCTCTTCTGGGGAGCGGGGAAGCTAGTAATAAGGGCCAGCGCCTGTGTGCCAGAGCCCAGAGCATCTTGTCATAAAGTCTCGCATGCGTTTTTTCTGCTAAGTACATGCTTCGTCGAAGACATCATCCCCTATCACTACTCATGATGAAATGGCTGTGGGTGTTTGCACTTTCGTGCATTTCGTTGCAGATGATCAAAACGACGGCAAGCCTGTAGAAATGCGTTGAGCCCGCGGCAAACCATGGTTTTTCGCTGCCATTGCCTTGGCTACATGCACGGTTTCTGTCCGGTCTTTGCCCGGAACTTGAGATGTCACAAGCTTGGAGAACCTTTCCTACCTGTGGTACTCAGACTGCATCAATTTGTCAAGTGACGGACAGTGAAGTCGAAATTGCCTTAGTTTGGGCACATACAGACACAAGCACGCGCACAACTGCTGTCAACTGCTTCACCATGCTTGCAAGAGGCTGCCAGTGAGCAAGTGCACTGTGGTGACAGCAGTCTCAACCTCTGCATCTGACCAAGCCGTTGACCTGAGACTAACAGGCCCAAGGGGTGCTCCCCAACGAAAGGCAGGAGGAAATCTGAGCGGCAAACACCAGGTAAAGCCAGAAATAAACAGCTTGAATGCATCCATGGCGCGACATGACGCTCATGCAGTGCAAATTCTATCAAATGTAAAGTCAAGCTTCTCCTTTCTACCTTTAACGTTTCGATGCAGGCTCACAATTCCAAAGCCTCAGCAAACTGGGCTTCAGGTTGGCAGGAATGTTTGGGGTTAATATTGGGATAATGGAGAATCAAATGGAAAAGAACATGGAAAATGGAAAAATGGAAGGCCTAGGTCCCCTTAAAGGGGCATATAGGGATTTTAGGGTTTACATCCCAAGTCATGCTCCAGCATGTGGACTGCAAGTCTTGCTGAGCCAGACTTGGCAAGCTCCTGCAACGCCTCAACGTTCAACTTGTTAAAGTGCTGCTTGTGTGGTACTTGTAGGTTGTCAAAACTATGGTCCTTTTTTGGGTTCCCGTTACAGTAATGGCCCCATAATATTTTGGCTACCCAAAAAAGGACCATCATTTTGAGAACCCCCCTCTGGAGAAAGCTGCGCTGGCAGGCCTCACAACTCCTCAGCATTGCGAATGCTCACGGACGCTTCTCGCGGCCATATCCTTGCAAGAATGGGCACGGCCTTGAGACCAATCCCCCGAGAAATCTCGAACACACCTTCAGAAAAAGATCCATTTCAAGCATCGTCGTGAAGTCTCGGCCTGCGTAACATGGCTGGACAAAGAACACGTTCAGATTGTTGCCCTAGCTTGTGTGATCGATCGAAACCGGCTCAGCACAGGCCTCGTCGTCAGACACGTCTTCATGTAAAAGATGCATGCCATATTGTACGTTTTCTGGGCAATCTATGAAGAAAGTTTCTTTAGGAAGCTTGGAAAGCTGGAGCGCTACGAACCTTGTGAAGAAGCTAGGAAAGCTAGGGTGTTGCGAACTTGAGGAGGCCTCCGACAAGTTGCCAAAACTCAACTGCGTTTTTGTTGAACAATGCGACATCTGATTGAAGTTCAGTGGTATCTGTGATTCATCTGGTATGATGGTTTTGGAAATGAATGCATCACAAGAGAAACAAATGGATCCAGAAGCATCGCGGCGGCAACAGCAGCAGCAACAGCATGCAACAGCAAATGGCAGTGGTGGCTGTAGAAATAGCAGTGGTAGCTCTATCGAAGAGCCTTGCTTAGCTCCATACCTATGACTACTACTGCTACTCCTACTGCCGCTGCTGCTACGATTACAACAACAGCAATAACAACAATAATGCCAAACAACAGCAGCAACAACGACAACGACGACGACGACGACGACGACGACGACGACGACTACTACCTTCAAACATCGCCCCAATACTAGGACTACTAGTCGCAAGTTTCTGTTCCTACAAGCATTCAGTCCTAATGTATCTGCGACTACGACAACAAGGATGAGTACGACTACAACTACGACCATGATACGAAGACAACTTTAGTACTCCTGCCTCACTTCCAAAGCCGCGATGCTTACCACCACTGCAGGTTTGTTGCTACTTGTGCTTGCACTGGCACTTAGAGTACCAATGCAGCTGCTGCTATAGCTGCCATGCTACGGAACAGCTTGACCTGTACCAGCATCACGATCTTACTGCTTCTGCTGCTGCTGCTGCTGCTGCTGCTGCTGCTGCTGCTGCTCAGATATCCTGAGCTCTTTGCGCAGCCGTGGCGACTACCAGCCGTTGCCCCACACCTCCTGCAGTGCTTAGCACAAGCTGTATCTCTGTCATCATCTGCCCCCGACCACTACCATCATCGGCGAAAGACTTGGGCTTAGTCAAATATTGTCAGCGACGTAGTTTCGTTGGCGAGCCCTTGCCCCACACTTTTTCCCAATGCTTAGTGCAGGCTCTGTCCATGTCGTCGCCTGCTCTCACCCACCGCCGTCAACGGCAGAAGAATTCTGCTCAGTCAGGTATTGTTAGCCCCATGTTTTTTTGGGCAGCCCCTTGCCCAACAGTTTCTCCAGTGCTTAGCGGGGACTCTGTCTTATCGCGGTCTGTCCCCGCCCGGTCATGACTAGGCACCTGCAAAAGCGAAGTAAGAATTTTCGCGGCGATTGACAACAACGACTCCTACCACGATCATCCGTTGCCAAATAGAATAGATATCACCATTGGCACATATGCAAGGGCGAAATCAGCGGCAGTGGCTTCTGGTCATGGTAGCTGATGGCAGTTGCAGCCGTGCGAGTAGTGATAAATGTGAAAGCTACAAAGGAGATTTTCCAGCATCTGATCTCCGTGGTGCCTGGCCCAGCAGCCATGACAAAGGGATGCTGAGATGCTAAGATCTGCAAAACGCTGCAGAAACGCCTGAACTGTTGAAGGTGCAGTCACAAATCGCTGACCATCCAGCATCATGAAAACTTGAGCTATTGCGTATGCTTCAGAGCCAACTAGAGCTGCAGGAAACTGTTCCTTTGTCAAGTGTGACACAGTTCTGAGTAACAAAAGCAGGCACGCCACTACGTGCGGACTGGCCACCTTGTCTTCGCAGGAACACTATATCATCCATCCTCCTCATCAGAAAACATGATGCCATCATCCATTTTCTGCCTGGCATGGCTCCGCGAGTTGTCACCAGCAAAGGCTGAAGCCAAACAAAACGTGGTCAGGCCAACCACATGCCCTCGTTGGCGCTTTGAAGCCGTTTCGACAGCGCCTCCTTTCCAACAGAGTGCATCCTCGCGAACGCAGAAAGTTTGCGGGTCATTGACAACTGTCGTCCTGAAAGGCTGTGATGCGGCATCGGTGAACATCAATCCTGCCAACAAGCACAAAGCTGAATCTTCGCAGCGTGCACCCTGATCTCGCTCGAGCAAGCTACCGTCAAATCTGAGGACCGCGCGACTTCACCTGCGCGTCATATCTTGCTTCTGTCGCAGCCTCGCCCGCCAGCATGGCTGCAATTCTTCCGAGCAATGACCACCCAAAAAGCAACATGATCTCACATGTGTTCGGTACCCTGACAAACAACAATAATTTCCGCATGATTCACTGAACGCCTTCACGGTTTTTGCCAGGCGCTCTTGCGGAGCGGATTCGAAACGTATCAGCATATTGGCCTTTCCCGAGTCAGGCCAAAAAGACAGAGTATCCCTAGGGTATGAAAGGGTTTGCAGGGATATATAGAGGCATATAGTCCCCCTTAAGTAGATAGAATATGGGGTATATGGAGATCTTATTATAATATACCCAAAACCATATTCTATCTACTTAAGGCGGACTATAAGTCCTTACAATTAAGAACTTGTGTTTCATGCTGCAGGCCAGCTTATGACTCTCTCAGCCCATTGCAACCAGCTTCAAAAAGCCTAAAAAAGAACCCCAAAACGGAGCCTCCGGGTTGTTGGCCGCATTCATGATATCAGCCTGGACTCCAAACAACTATATTGCTTAGGTGGACCCCCCAATAAGGGCTTTTAGGGTTCAGGGACATCCCTTATAGTCACTACTACCCATATAACCCCTATAGAACCCCTATAGAACCCCCTAACAGGGTGGGGGGTGCACCTAATGTATTGCAAGCACCCTTTTGTACTTGGCGCCTCGAACTCGTCGAAGAAGGCCAAAAAGAACTGAAACCTGATCTTCGGTCACATGCATGTTCTCTTTTGTGGTGACTTACTCTACATCAGAATGCACCATGGCTGGACGTCTAAGAGTGTCTCAAATAGGCATTGCCCACTCGGAAGAAATTGTCCTGGCATCGCTCTCTGTTGAAACTGCAGCGTACCTTTCGCAAAGCCTTTGTGCTACAAAACGCGCCAGGCGAACCAAGAAGTCAAACAGAGTGCCATAAGGAAGGTGATGGATACAAAGCCTGAGCAGCTCTCGAAACCACACGCTGATTCAAATCATAGGAATGTGCCATCTGAAATGTCGCCCTGGCAAACGAAGTTGCCGAGGCCGCAGGCCCAGCAAACCATTTTTGGACAAAGGTCTCCGGAAGCAACCCAAGCTCCTTCTGGCTGTCAGTGGCCCACAACATAACAACATTCAGTTGGCCAAGCAATCGTTCTGTGCTGACCAAGAAGCGCAAGAACAACAAGCAACAATGATCACGAGGGTTGCAATGTTATCTCCTCTAGAAGTACCTAGAAGTACTGATCATACATCTGCGTGTACTTCCATCAGATTCCTGAAGACGCTGCTTGAGGTGAGGCTTCAACAAGTTCGTGCACACATAGCCGTCCACCGCGCAGGCTGTAGCCTGCGGAAGCCACGATAGGCACTCATGCTCCAGGCTGAAACTCATATCAGAAGAATAGACGTATGGGTAGTTTCCAGAATCAGGGGTACCTTTTTTGGGAGTCTAATACTAAGGATAATGGTATTTTGGGACTACATTGGGGTTCCCCTATTTTGGGAAAGTACCGTATAATAGCAGTACTGAATATGGAACGGCAAGATAGCCGCTGTAGTCTCCAAAACAGCTGTGCTTGTATCATCTGCTCTTACGCCATGCTCAGCTGATACACCTCCCCGCGCCAGTATCCAGGCAGATACTTCGGGCTATCGTTCAGCACCGTAAGGACCTGCAGGCATGGGCTGCAAAAATCATACCAGACCATATCCATCTGCAGATTTTGACCACCGAAGCTGCTTCGGACCTTGAAGCAGGTGGCCGGATCGAAAAACAGGAGCAGCAAACCTGCAACGTACCTGCCAGGGAGGTGCACTCCCTGACGGAATGCAGTGGAAAAGCTGCAAGCTTCTGGGTGGAGGACCCCAGGGACTGCTGGTAGTCTCCGAACTTCTGCTGCTGAGCCAGGGAATGAAGTCAGGATTTTCAACTGAGCAGAATCACGAAGCGAAAGAGGCCCAAAAAGAATGGCTGGGCATCTGGGCAGAGAAGGACAGCAGCTTGATACATATAAGTCGATTAGACCTTCAAAGGGCTGAGCTTGCACTTCCTCTCCCACAAAAGCGCTGGAACTTGTAGGACCCCAGCTCGCTTCGAAAGGTCCGGTTCGCATCGGCGCGAAATATCCTGGCCCCTTCCTGCATGGCGGATTCTATGATGGCACAACCCAACTGACTGTCAGCATCGCTCCGTTGAGAGCGGTTTCGTGTCGACGTCCTGACCACTTGAGGCAGGTTGTGAATGAAGAGATGGAACCCCGGCATGTCCTCTCTGCATCTCTACGTAGTCCCTAGAAACCTTTTAATATACAGGGAATCTGATAACGGCTCATGTGCCTATATATCCCAAGGGCTAGCTCGTAATCGTATAATCCCCGAATCCCTTTGAAAGGGATCCTATGCCCCAGAACTGGGTTGCTGCTAAGGAACTTAAACCAAGTCACTATAATAAGGTAAGGAAACCAATTTTTGTTACTTTATACCCCTTTTTACAGTAACCTGCACCCTAAATTTTAAACCCCAAAAACGAAACCCTATGTATCCATAATAGGGTACCTTAGCTCAAGTTCCTAAACAGCAACCCAAAGAACCCACCCAGGCTGAGCACGAGACGACTTTGCTTTCTTCAACGCCAATGTGGGGGAGCCAGGATTGAGCTCTCTGGATTGCCTCACAGGTTTAGGGTTAGATAGGTAGAATATTAGGGTTATATAGGGGTTATATTGGGATAATGGAAAAGAAAATGGAAACTACTATTTAGGGTTTAGGGGTTAGGGTTTGGGGTGGGATTTGTGGTTTTGTGTTTGTTTGTTTTTTTTTTG